GAGAGAGAGAGAGAGCGCGCGCGCGAGGTTTAGATACACAGCCCGTCAGCTGCCGGCTATTCATTATGCTCTCTCGCAAAACATCTCATTAGACTGCACGTTGCCGCTGTTTATTTGGCCGACGAATGACCATCGCATGTTTATTTGTTGACCGCTTGCAGCAACGTACCCCTGAAACGATTGCAACTTGTGGCGTAGCCGTGGGAACGCACTAATACTACTTCGCTACTTACTACGTCACTAATACGCAACTAACTATACTTCGTTCTTGTATAGAAAAGAATTTATTCGCGAAATCTCCAATAAGTGAGTTGTTAATGATCATAGTTGAGAATGTTACATTACAAGGACGTTGATTTCTGTCGAATCTTACTACGACTGCGTAGGTAAGCCCGTGTGTTTGTAACACTCGGTGGTGTACTAGAAAATGCGAAAGACCCATGTGAAATAGACCTCCACACAATATTTATTTTCCTGACAGATAGTAGCGATGTATTTAAGCGATAAAGTCTTTAGTGCAAGCAAAATATTTATGCCTAATCGGCGCGTTGACCTGCCTTCTCTTGCGGAGGTGCGTAACGAAAAGCACGAGACGACTCACAACAGGCAATAAATGTTTGCTGTCGCAATACGTATTTCTGCGCGGTCATTTCGGGCTTCGTAAACAGGAGGGAGCTTGGGGGCAGGCGCGGCTAGATGCAGTGTGGGAGTGAGCGGTGGGCTGGGCCCACGCTTACAGCTGGCTACAGTAAATAGCCACGTGCCTGCGCGCGACTCACACAGGCAACAGGCCGGCTGCTCGGCCTGGGGGCGATGCAGCCGCGTGCAGATGCGTGCAGCGGGAATGCTGCGGGGATGCTGCGAGGATGCTGCGAGGATGCTGCGCGGACTAGCAGCACGGTGCGAGCGATTACGGCTATAGCGTTCACTGATACCGCCCACGTACCGCAAACTCTGCGAAAAGTGGGACTTTCGTTAAACGAATGTACATCGATGTGAATATGCCCTGATTTGATGGTTGGATGTTGCGGTATGGGTTTAATTTCTTAGGCCGTACCTTTGGTTTTGCTAGTACCGCGTTTTGCAAGTAATGAACTAATTGTATCCCCCGCGACGAAGTCGGCGGGGATACTATGGTTTCATGTCTCCCCAGCCGCCGCCGCAGACAATTTCCCTTCCGCTCTATAACTCGGCCCCTAATTGACCTAGCGCTACCAAACTTGTTATACTTACACATCTTGGAGAGAAGGTGAGCAGCGTACCAAAACCAGGTCACTGCGACCTTTATTGGACCTTTACCTTGACATTGATCATATTTCCCTGCCACTCTGTAACTCGGCCCCTAATTGACATAGCGCTACCAAACTTGGTATACTTACACATCTTGGGGAGAAGGTGAGCAGCGTACCAAAACAAAAACATGTCACTGCGACCTTTATTTGATCTTTACCTTGACCTTGATCATATTTCCCTTCCGCTCTCTAACTCGGCCCCTAATTGACCTAGCGCTACCAAACTTGGTATACTTACACATCTTGGGGAGAAGGTGAGCAGCGTACCAAAACCAGGTCACTGCAACCTTTATTTGACCTTTACTTTGACCTTGTTCATATTTCCCTTCCGCTCTATAACTCGGCTCCTAATTGACCTAGCGCTACCAAACTTGGTATACTTACACATCTTGGGGAGAAGGTGTGTCACGTACCAAAACCAGGTCACTGCAGCTTTTATTTGACCTTGACCTTGACCTTGATCATATTTTTCTTCTGCTCTATAACTCGGCCCCTAATTGACCTAGCGCGACCAAACTTGGTATACTTACACATCTTGGGGAGAAGGTGTGTCGCGTACCGAAACCAGGTCACTGCAATCTTTATTTGACATTGACCTTGACTTTGGCCTTCATCATATTTCCCTTCTGCTCTATAACTCGGCCCCTAATTGACCTAGCGTGACCAAACTTCGTATACTTACACATCTTGTGGAGAACATGGGGGATACATGTAGTTGGCGACAACTGCCCTTTCTAGTTACTGGATGATAATTACCGGGCGGTTCATGTGCTGAAATGCGAATTCTGCTCATTTTTAATGCATTAATGTTTTCGGTTTTATGAGGTGCGTGTATATTGAATGTATTAGCTATGTAGGATTGAACGTTTAAGGAGAAACGGTGGGGGCACATGTGATAAAGTATGAAAAGCTTGTAATTTAGAATCCATTAACCACATAGTTGATGCTATTTTAATCAAATTTCTTCCTGGCTTTCCATCCTTTTTTTCTTTGAAAAACAAGTAATTTTGGGCATAGTTGCATAACATGTAGGCTATCGGCAACAGAGACCTTTTCTCGAAAGGTTTCAGGTTCTAATGCGTACCTAAGATGGTGTGCACCGGTGATGTGTACAGTGAATTCATCACACTATTCCTTTGCATTGTAGGACGATAGCAAACCGTATGACGGCTCCATTCCACCTATACCTAGGCCAGCTGTACGAAGGGAACTACATAGGGCCATGAGTGACACCATGTTCGAAATAGAGAAACACAGGCTGATGGTGCTGGAACGAGAAGGTGATCGCTAGAGAGATGTTTACTTACTCTGTCTTCAAGGTTACACTCAATCAAATACTCTATTGCACTGTTATTGCGATTTCCTAGTGGGAACGGATAATTATTGCAGAAAATGCTAATTGCGTCCGTAACATGCTAAATAACTGCGGTATTGTGTTTATAGTATGCTATCGATAAATATCTATCACATTCGTATTGCGAAGTGTTAAAGTGTTTCAATGGTGATATATTTGCCAAAGAATATTATTGTGATAGACAGATAAATGTCTTTGACTTTGCAGATATTGGGACAGTCTTGGACTTTATATAATCGATATCAACTTTATTTTCTAGGCATCAATATAATAGATGAAGAGAAGCGAAGGCTCTGTGAATTAAAGAGGCGTGCATCGGAGGAGGTGAGAATGCAGTGGGAACAGAGAAAGCAGCAGGAGCTGAACGAAGTCAATAGAAAGAGTAATAACTCAGTTGACAGTGAAGACTCTAGCCTCTCCAGCTGTGAAACACCGTCTGAGAAGGAGACCAGGTGAGAAAGGAATTTACGTCTGAAAATGTTTGCCAACCTACAGAGTTTTTCTTACTGTAATCTGTCCTCAGCATCTAATACAACAGTTTCATCATTATTTATTTTCCATTTTCCATTTGCCCTACTAACCGTTAAATTGATTTAGTTTTAACCAACGCTGGTTCTCAATTTTACACGTGACTCAGCATAAACATATTATTGCTATATAATGATGAATTGACCTAGTGCCAAAAAAACATGATATAAAGTGGCAATTGCCTTAAATTATTCCAGCCTGAGCAGTGGTGAAGATAATTTAGAGAAGCTGGCAGAGATGGAGAGAATGTTGTCATTGGCACAGAGCGAGAAACTAGCCATGATCGAGAAACAGGTGAGCCATGTTGATAATTATAACCCACCCCACTATCTATTTCTCTCTCTCGATCACTCTCTTTTTCTCTCCCCTCTGTTTCTTCCCTCTTTCATTCTTTGTGTGGGCGTGTGTGCGTGCGTGCGTGCGTGCGTGTGTGTGTGTGTGCCTCTTTCATTATCTTTCTATTGCTTTCTTCCTATTCGTTATGACTACCTGTCGGTCTCTTAGTCCCTGTATCGTCTGACTCTAGTCTGTGTTCGCATGTAGCGACACCTGGTGGGAAAGAAGGTACTAAATACGCTTATTGACAACACGGAACAGGAATTAGTCATCATTAGTCACACTACTGACGTTAGCTCACGATATTCCCACAACATGCCTCACCATTGGGGAAATGATAGTTATTACGTGATTCTTAGGTAGTAAAATAATTGAATTTTTGCGTGCGCTCGTGAAATAATGCTCGCATCAAGTCGCCGTACGAATTCGAAGGCTGTAAGTACGTGACACAAGTAGGCCGTTCTAGTCGACAGATGGCAGCACAAGCCGGCTACCAACGTGCGGCACAGGCGGCTGCACAAGGTCCTCATTCACGTGCCTTTCCGCGCCATCTGCCATGGCAATATCCGCTCAGCCGCTACTCCTGAGCTGGTCTAATAGCGCAGTGAATCAATTAGCCAGTGGTCGTATACGCGGCGGTCGAAGCACATGCGATTGTAGGCGATGAAGGATCTTACTATGGCTGCTAGTTTGTTGTTTGCTTGCACACGGGTCGGCAGGAGAAGTAAGAGAGATGTAAGTATTGAGAGAACGTACGTGAGTGGATTATAACCAGTCGCAGGTAGCTATGAGGATGGAATGTAGTTCGCAAGACATCATCAGAGAAGCTAGTTTTAAACACATAGCTCTTCGCTCCGCCACACGAAGGCGGAGTGAAGAGCTACACGGGTAGCGAGAGGCTAGCTATAGCCCGACGAGGGTGTGTGTGTACCAGGTCTTGCAGGTCTTGCATTCACGGTCCGTTATTGACGGCGGTTTCTTAGAGGTACGGAGACGCGTAGATTTGTATGGCGCGTAAAATAATGTATCTGTGTGTGCACTGCGTGCGTGTGTGCGTGCGTGCGAGCATGTGTGTGTGTGTGCGTGCGTGCGTGCGTGTGTGTGTGTGTGTGTGCGCGCGTGCGTGTGTGTGTGCGCGCGCGTGTGTGTGTAGGTATATTTGAATTAAAGGAAGGGGTTGTTAAATTTAGGTTACGTCTTATAGGATCACTGGTATGGAAGTCTACAGTATTTGGGTGCAGATATGGGGTATTCTTACTGTGTGTATTTCTGCGAACAGCGGCGGACTGTTCATTTTAGTATTTACGAAAAGAAGAAGTCGTGACAGCGGTGGCCTGGTAAAAACCGAGCTCGCGGCGAAGTTTGCTAGAAAATCAGCGCTTGCTGCCAATCATTTCAGTCCCTAGTTGCAGACAGTACTAGCAACGTTAGTAACGGGAAGCATATTAGTAACTTCATCTACTGTACCATGCTACTAGACATATATATATATATATATTGGAAATTCTCGTAGTAGTAGGACACCAGTTCGTTCTGGTTTTTCAAGTATAATATGTAGATCGTAAGAATAAATGCGCCGAGGTGGAGAAAATATAGAAGGGAAAAGATGAATAGTATAGCGCAGGGAAACGGTAGGAAAATCAGATGGGTCATAAACCAGTAATGACTGAAGAAAATAAAATAATTATTTCCAATACACTCCCGCTCACGGACGACCAGATCACGAGGGAGTATCGCGTGAGTACGGCGTGAGTTAGTTTGGTTGTTTAGTAATCCCTGCGGGCACGACACAGGCAGGGTGGGCGCAGCAGCGTGAAATTACCACCGGTTCTTGATGGCATCTCCCAGGTACCAGTGATCTATGTGGTTGTTGTTTGGTCAGTAAACCCTGAGCTTGCATTCGTTGTTCTCGCGAAAGATCCATGACATGTGTCGACGCGTGCGCGCGCAACTGTCCCTCAAGATGACAAAGATCTGGCTCCGAGGGATGCGCGCTCGCGCTGTAACAATACAATAATGACATTCTGTGATGTGAGTGTTCGACGTGTGAACGCTGAACGTTATTGATTCACGTGTAGCTCTGCGCCGAACCACCGACGTGTTCGTATTCGCTACATTGCCTTATTTGCTTGTCTAGCATTTAAGCCCGACTTTCTGCTTATTGTTTGGGTATCGAACAACTTCTTTCATTTGCGTCTGCTTATAACTGTTCTCACTTGGGTTGGTTGCTGTCGTAGCGCTGAGATAACAGTTGCAATGAACAAGCTAGATTCAGCACGTGTGTTTCAATGGTATGCGCATTTCATGGGCTCACACATACGGAAACACCGAGGAAAGAAGGTAACATACGCGTTACAGGTCAATCGCTACGATGCTCAACAGATTTGCACGTTATTTCGCGTTTTCTCTCGTTCTTGCGGTGTTTTTCAAATATTGATCGTGTTTAGTGCGTTCACATCGTGGCAGCTGTGAGGAACCTTGGTTTGCAGATTTGTTTTATTTCCTAGTGTATTTGGGCGTACCCGTGATATTCTCTAATCATATTATAAGTATAGTAGGCCTATATGTAGTATAGTGTGGTGGTAACCGTATGCGCATACAAACTAATTCGAACAGCTGCGGTTGTATGTAGTTTGTACGCCATCGTGAAGCCTTTATATCAATTACAATGCGGCTATGTACACTATCATTCACCCATGTTACGTAAAGTGTGGGCGTAACGATGAGAACGCAGACAGACAAAAACTCGTACGTTGCTAGAGTCGTGCCTACAGTACGCGATGAATGTAATATAATAATGTACACACCTCCTTATTAACACCGATGGTGTCTTTCTACTGGTTGCATGCAAACACATAACACAACAGCTAGGGCTGTGAGACTGAACGTCTGTATATAAACATGCGTAAGCGCGCGCACGCACGCGCGCGCCCATGAACGCACGCGTGATCGGGTCTGCGCCGATATGTTATTCATTTTAGTTGGGCTCTCTGCTTTATTTGAACTACCTTATCGTGTTATGAGATTTACCAAGGTTCTATGCAGCCTATAGCTACCCAGTGCTAGTATAGTTTACTGTCATACGTCTCTTGCATGGTGCACGAGTCCATGGGCTTATTTATGGCTGGCAGATGGTTCCCTTTCACGCGTAAGCGCGTCTAATAGGTCTAGCAGAGAAATAAGTGCGTGGAATGTTTTTCATGGCCATGATCGCCGTTTCTGCTCGAAAAAAATGGAATGAACACAATTTACGGCATTTTTAATCATTATCTAATGCAAATAAGCAGTCATTTCCGTTGTTATTTTATAGTAGGAGCATTAGCAACATAGTTATGGTGCGTTTCATCACTTGATAAGTGTATAGTCGTTGTACAGCGTAGTCACATGCCAAGGTGTCGGGTTAAGAAGAAATGGGTTCTGTTTCACACATTTGAGCACTGGTCCATCAGCGTTTCCCAGGCGTTGGAATGTCTGATCGCTATTGCTGTAGGCATCTGTGAAACTTAATTAATCTCGCGCAGCGATGAGTCGTTCTCGTGTTCATCTTCTCAAAAAAATTTCGCCAATAAATGTGGTGGCTCGCGTGTATGTGTGTGTGTGTGCGTGCATGCGTGCGTGTGTATGTGTGTGTGTGTATGTGTGCGCGCGTGTGTGTGTGTGTGCGTATGTGTGTGGTGCAATGGTTACTGATGTTGACCGCTGCATTACAAGGAAAGCCAGACCACCCATGTACCCATGTATGCTCGTGTAAAACTGTTATTCCCTCATATATCTAGCTAGTAAACCATGCATATCCGTCGGTTATCCAAGCTCTGGTCGCTTTCGTTTATCAACATCCTATTCTTGGCCATAGGCTAAAACACTGGTCCAGTGTCTCCGCAGTGTATACACGTTTACGTGCATCTGTAAACGATGAGATGGCTGCAACGATATTAATTACAATGCTGTTTGCCCGAAACTGGGATCATTCGTTTATACTGGTGGTATTTACCTAATTCTAAGCAGGGATGAGAAAGCTATCTACGCTCTCGTTCGTTGAACCCTGATACCATGGATGATAATAGCGTATTTGGGCGTATAACTTTTGAATTTGCAAAGATATTACATGATAGGTGGTGCGTTGTTAAATGTACACAGTATCACATTGACTCGCATCGTTTGATGACTGAAATCCGTTAACCGCACCGTTTCCTATGTTTTCATTGATGATCATATTATCAGGAGAGATGGTATGTGTCAGCGTGTATGTGTTACGTGTTTTCGTTTGCCGGATGCTGTTGGTGGTTAGACAGATATTGTCACTGGGGAACGTTGTGCTGGTTGAAATCATAGGGCAGCAGTGGTGAGTCACTGATTGCCACGCCTGGCTGCGTGACTAGTTGCGCTAACTGCAGCTTCGTTTTCACTTGATGCGAAGCTCTGTTTCCGATATGTGCGGGCGTGCGTGTATGTGTGTGTGTGTGTGTGTGTGCGTGCGTGCGTGCGTGCGTGCGTGCGTGCGTGCGTGCGCGCGTATGTGTCTGCGTGCGTGTGTGTGTGTGTGTGTGTGCGTGCGTGCGTGCGTGCGTGCGTGCGTGCGTGTGTGTGCGTATGTGTGCGTGCGTGCGTGTGAGAAGCCGGTAGTTATCAAGGAAATCGTTGTAGTTTTATGAAGAGTGTCGGTGAAAATTGCGAGAGATTTCAGAAAATTGAGAGATATTACTCAATATATTTTCTACATATTCTGACACTGAACAGTCATGCAAACCAACCCGTAAATGCATGTGTTGTATGAATACCACGGGATACTTTTTTAGTCCAGCCCTTCGGTATTTTTTTGGATGTTGTAAAATCGTTAGACTCCCTGTCAGCTAGACTCGCTAGTAGATTGTCTGATTCTGCGGTAAAGCTGCTCGCTGGTCGCCCTCATACAGCGTGTTTAGTCATGTGACGTCTATACATTGATTCGCATCGCATCC